AGAAGGAAGTGGTCATTCCAAGTTGACTCACCCTTTGGTGAGCCACCGGAGGGGTAAAATTTAGAGGAGGAAGTGGCCATTCCATCTTGACGACTCTTTTAAGTGAGCAAACATGCGGGAAAGGGCCTGTGTGCGCACTTGAGTCTCCCCGATGGACTGTGTGCGCGCATGAGTCAAATCTGTGTGCGCAGATGAGGCGCAAGTGCTAACAAAATGTGTGTGCGCAGATGAATCAAATCTGTGTGCGCAGATGAGCCGCCGCCCTTCCAATAAAGCCCCGCGACAATTACATTCTTCACTAAGCCCCGCGACAATTACATTTTCCAATAAAGCCCCGCGACAATTACATTCGTTAGCATAAAAATAAAACCCTCAGCATAAAAATAGAAACCCTCAGCATAAAAATAAAAACCCTCAGCGTAAAAAAACCGTTAGCATAAAAAAAAGAACCCACCCAAATCCAGCATAAAAAAAGAACCGTTAGCGTAAAGAAAAAACTATTCCCATTGTTGTTTTCCTTCAGTGAGGTTTTTGTGCTACTGCATTAACATGGATACATAGCTGTCGATTCAGGGACCTCATCCAATGAGTTCTCAGCTTTGGGTTGGTGATTCCCTTCAAGTCCGACCCGCAGATCTCCACACGCCGCGGTTGACGTTGGTTTGAAAACATTAACATTGACTTCTTGTTTCATGTCTAAGAGGGCATGATTGACGTTTCTTGCAACTTCCTCTCTTTGCTGGGTTGGTTTTTGATGCGGAAACGATCATGCAAATCGGACCAACTCAGTTAGAAATCTCGGAGAATCAGTTTTTCCAATCAGTTTCACCCTCCATAGTTTCCTCCAGTTTGTTGGGTGCGCCAATGAGCAATCTGACATGGAATGGAGGAACTCGAAGGGTCCCTATGTAGCTTCCAACACCCAACCGGACCATTGCAGGCCCCAGATTGGGCCCCCAACGGCCCAGAGCTTGTAAGCGGGCAGTCTGCTCGACGACGACCCGTCAAGAGTGAAAGAGGCGCTTCGAGCTGCGGGAAAGTCTGGTGGGCCCAAATGGACGGGGTTGAAAAAAGAAGGGTCCAGGGTCGAAAAAGCATGTACAAGGGTTAAAAAAGAATGTGACAGGGTCAAAAAACAATGTTCGAGGGTGAAAAAGAAATGTTGCAGGGTTGAAAAAAAAGGTTAGGGTGGAAAAAAATGTTTTAGGGTTGAAAAAAAATGTTGCCCTTGCCTCAGCTGTAAGAACTGATGGTTCCAATATGTTTCAATCATTTCAATTTAGGGATGCAATGAGTTGCAATTGAAACGCTTAGGAGCCTCTCTTCAACACCTGGCAGGAGTCAGCGGCGAAGTGTAACACTTAAGGAAATGCATCGAAGTGCCTTGCAGCCTAGCGTAGCCCCCAGTGTAGCTCGAAAACAGGAAATGCCTCGCAGTGTGTTTTTCTTTTTGCGATTTGCAGATCCAGTCACTTAGCCAAAACAGCGTCCTCGCATCCTCCCTTCAAGTGTGCAGTTCGAAAAACCGACCAGCAAGAGGAAGATGGGCCATACCCAGACAACACGCAGCCACATCCTGAGAGCTGTTTCTGAACGTTCTGCATCAGACAATTGAGATAAGCCCTCAATAGGCCCTGCATCCCTAGGTTCACCAAGCAGATCTTTAATTTGAACCAGGGAATGGTGCAGCTGCCTCAATGCGGTACAATCATGCAGTATCATGCAACAGCTCCGGAAAGAAAAGAACAACTCAGCAGAAAAGATGACGAAACATGTCACAGCAGGGGGGGAGTTTTGGAGAGAAGCGGGTGAGGTATCAATTCCGCATCCGAGCAGTGACCAATGCTGGAGGTTTGCGGCAAGATTCTCTTCAGACACCGTCTCTGTTGTTGACCTAGAACATTAGTGAATCAGTGGTGGAGGGGTGAAAAAATACATATTTTTACATTCCTTCCTTCCTTCCCCTGTTAGTTTGTCATCATCACTACTGGCAGTGCTAATCATTGCTTTTTTTTTTGCCGCATATGACATGCTTTGTTTTCAGAACACTCTTCGCTTCGGACATGGCTTTGCACTGCCCGGTTTGAACACAGGCGGTTCCTATTCCAATGTGGTTTCCCATGTCGTTGGAACGGCTTGGCACTCATGTGGTGCTGTGGTGCTGATCTCCGTGACGACGAACGGAGCACCGTTTTGGCGACGTGCCGTTCGAGTCGCGTCCTCTTGTGACGTTCGCTTTTGCCCTATCAGTAACAAGAAGCTACGTTCGGGGCTCCTGGCATCACCACTAGGAGCGATCGGACGCTACGAACGGGGCTCTGGGCCGTACTACTAGGAGCAATGTTCGCTACCTTCAGCTTCGTGACGTTCTCCCGACGGAATGAAACGCCGAACGGACGTGAGGCACCACTGTCAGCACCTAGTGGTCTCACGCGAGCAGCCACCACATCAGCCGCAACCTAAAGCTGAAGTGCAGCCAAAGAGGCTAAACCGTTTAGACTCTAGACTTTGGGTGGAGCCGATGAGCCGATTTGTCCCGCTGTAAATTGAACTGGTGTAAAATCAGAAACGAGTCACGCATGTTTTCAGCACAGGCTGTAGATTACCACTTGCAGAAGAGGGGTTGATGTTAAGGGACGATGTGTTCTCGATAGGCTGTAGCTTGCTTACAGGTGAGCTCGACAAGCTGTAGGTTGCCAACCTACAGGTGAGGGATTGAGGTTAATGGGCGGGGTGTTCCGGATAGGCTGCAGGTTGCCAACCTACAGGTGAGGGATTGAGGTTAATGGGCGGGCGGTGTGTTCTCGATAGGCTGTAGGTTGCCAACCTACAGGTGAGCCATTGAGGTTAATGGGGGGTGTGTTCCGGATAGGCTGTAGGTTGCTAACCTACGGGTGAGGGATTGAGGTTAATTGGGGGTTTGTTTAGGCATGTTTAGGCTGTAGGTTGCCAACCTACAGGTGAGGGATTGAGGTTAATTGGGGGCTTGTTTCGGATAGGCTGTAGGTTGCCAACCTACAGGTGAGGGATTGAGGTTAATGGGGGGTTTGT